AGCTGATTGTTCTCCACACGGAGTTGGGCGTTGTCCGCCTCCTGGCGTTCTACTCGGCTGAGCAGCTGCGCTACCTCAGCTCGCAGCTGTGCGATCTCCGCTGGGTCTACTCGGGACTCAGTCATCCTGTCAGGTTCGGTGGGCTGAGCTGGAGTGGTTATGAGACCCAGGCGCGGAGAGAGTGGTGGATGGAGACTGATATGTGGCAGCGTGGGAAGTTCTCTTCCCGTATGGTTTGTAGAGTTAGTGTCTTAGGTCTTAGAATGGCTTGGCGTCTATCGTTAGATGATGACTGAGTGCCGGCTCCGCTGTGACAGGTCCTTAAATAGGCTCAGCGGGATGACGTCACCGGGAAGCGTCGGTGACAGGCATGCTGGGAACTGGAGTGCAGCGCCAGCCCGGCCCGCAGAGGAGGTTAAGAGGAGGAGTTCATGACATCATTAACATATGAAATAAATAATTTAGGTCCCAACACAGAACTATAAAGCCGTGACCCATATTACGTCTTTGATTATAGATGTATAGCACAAGTTGGTCACGTGCATTGCCGTAACCTAGCAGACAGTTACCGGAACGGTCTTTTCAAAATAAGTCTCGCTGGAACAAGACCCGGCTCTAATTAAGCAGTGCCCTTTGTACATGAATGCCTCAGTGCTTTCTCCTCATAAGATTTATGTGGCCCATAATTTTGCTAACTACGAAGCATTGACTTGTCGTCGTCTTCGTCTTCCTCCGCTTATCCGGGTCCGGGTCCGGGTCGCGGGGACAGCATCCCAACTAGGGGGCTCCAGACCGTCCTCTCCCCGGCCACCTCCACCAGTTCCTCCGGCAGGACCCCAAGGCGTTCCCGGACCAGATTGGAGATGTAACCTCTCCAACGTGTCCTGGGTCGACCCGGGGGCCTCCTGCGGGCAGGACATGCCCGAAACACCTCCCCAGGGAGGCGCCCAGGGGGCATCCTGACCAGATGCCCGAACCACCTCAACTGACTTCTTTCGATCCAGAGGAGCAGCGGTTCTACTCCGAGTCCCTCCCGAATGTACGAGCTCCTCACCCTATCTCTAAGGCTTAGCCCGGCCACCCTACCGAGGAAACTCATTTCGGCCGCTTGTATCCGCGATCTCGTTCTTTCGGTCATTACCCAAAGCTCATGGCCATAGGTGAGGATTGGGACGTAGATCGACCGGTTAATCGAGAGCCTGGCTTTCTGGCTCAGCTCCTTCTTCACCACGACAGATTGGTTCAGCGTCCGCATCACTGCAGACGCCGAACCAATCCGCCTGTCGATCTCCCGATCCCTCCTACCCTCACTCGTGAACAAGACCCCAAGACACTTAAACTCCTCCACTTGAGGTAGGACCACTCTCCCGACCTGGAGTTGGCAAGCCACCCTTGCCTGGTCGAGAACCATGGTCTCAGATTTGAAGGTGCTGATCCTCATCTCAGCCGCTTCACACTCGGCTGCGAACCTACCCAGCAAGAGCTGAAGGTCAGAGCTGGGTGAAGCTAGGAGGACCACATCATCTGCAACAAGCAGAGACGAGATTCTCCTGCCACCAAACTCGACACACTCCACACCACGGCTGCGCCTAGAAATTCTGTCCATAAAGGTTATGAACAGAACCGGTGACAAAGGGCAGCCCTGGCAGAGTCAAACCCTCGCCGGGAACAGGTCCGACTTATTACCGGCTATGCAGACCAAACTCACGCTCCTCTGGTAAAGGGACAGAATGGCCCTTAACAGAAAGCCACCCACCCCATACTCCTGGAGCGTCCCCCACAGGGTGCCCCTGGGGACACGGTCATAAGCCTTCTCCAAATCCACAAAACACATGTGGATTGGTTGGGCAAACTCCTATGCCACCTCCATCACCCTTGTAAGGGTATGGAGCTGGTCCACATTTCCATGGCCAGGACGAAAACCACATTGCTCCTGCTCAATCTGTGATTCAACTATCCATCGGACCCTCCTCTCCAGTACCTTGGAGTAGACCTTTCCAGGGAGGCTGAGGAGTGTGATCCCCCTATAGTTGGAACACACCCTCTGGTCACCCTTCTTAAAGATGGGGACCACCACCCCGGTCTGCCACTCCACAGGAACTGCCCCTGATGACAACGCAGTGTTGCAGAGACATGTCAACTACGACAGCCCTACCGCATCCATAGCCTTGAGATACCCAGGATGAATATCATCCACCCCCGGGGCTCTGCCGCTGTGTAGTTGTTTGACTACCTCAGCAACTTCTGTCCCAGAGATTGGACAGTCCATCCCCAGGTCTCCCAGCTCTGGCTCCTCCTCAGAATGTGTGTAGGTGGGATTGAGGAGCTCCTCAAAGTATTCCTTTCACCGCCTGACTATAGCCCCAGTTGATGTCAGTAGCTCCCCATCCCCACTGTAAACAGTGTGAGCGAGTTGCTGCCTCCCTCTCCTGAGGCGCCGGACAGCTTGCCAGAACCTCTTTGGAGCCGATCGATAGTCTTTCTCCATGGCCTCACCAAACTCCTCCCACGCCCGAGATTTTGCCTCTGCAGGGAACGCTTGGCAGAAGAACCTGTCAAGATGGTCTTCAACTCCCACCTCCGGCAGATCTTTGACTGCATCCCGAGAGCAGTGGGGAACATCAAGTCCAAGTGGGCCTTGTTCCACTCTGCGATTATTGAGGCGGCTGTTGCTAGCTGTGGTCGCAAGGTGGCCGGTGCCAGTCATGGCTGCAACCCCAGTACCCGCTGGTGGACACCAGAGGTTCGGGGAGCCGTCAGGCTGAAGAAGGAGGCCTACAGGGCGTGGCTGGTCTGTGGGTCTCCGGAGGCAGCAGGCGTGTACCGGATAGCCAAGCGGGGTGCAGCAGTGGCAGTTGCCACACTGACTCATCACTGTTAATTGTACTCTGGAGTGGGATGGCCTTCTTTGTCCACCAGGAGGTCGAGTAATTGGTAATAACAATAATAATAATAAATCAGTTTTCTAGGCACTGAACTTAACATTATTCATGCACTCTCACATTCGCACACTGCCGGTGATGGTAAGCTACCATGTAGCCACAGCTGCCCTGGAGCAATTTACCATTTTGCACCATTGGCTCGTCTCACCACCACCAACACAGGCAAGTCGGGTGGAATGCCTTGCCCAAGGACACAGCAGTATAAAACCCGCTCTACCTCCTGAGCTACTGCTGCGCCTTTCATTTATAAGGCCATGCTTGAACTACGGCCCTCTTACATCTGTTTTTTAACTCATGGAAGAGTGTTTCTCCTTACAGTTTGCATGCAAATGATTAATTGTTAGAACTGTGCTGCCTCTTGGCCAGGACACCCCTGGAAAAATGTTTCCTTGAATAAAGTTAAAACAAATAAATAAACACTGGCAGTCCGAGTGGAATGTGGCCTGTGTGGTCGCTGAAGCAGGAGAAGGCCATAAAGGACTCCCTTATAGCTTTGAGGTGATTTTGGTCCACCATCTGGCATCTCCTCCAACACTGTTTATGGTGGAACAGTGTACTGCTGCCCTTGACTTGGCATGTCGTGGGTGGAGTACTTTGAAGACCTCCTCAATCCCATCAGCACATGTGAGGAAGCAAAGTCTGGGGACTTTGGGTTGGGCCCTCCAATCTCTGGTGCTGGGGTTTCTGGAGTGGTCAAAAAGCTCCACGTGCCTCATTTATCAGCCGTACTTATGAACAGATCTGTGCGTAAGTCATATGTGGCCACCAATGTAGTCATTGTGTGGTATTCATCACGTTGTACCTGTGCTGGAAATGTTCCTGAACAGCAGAAAACTTCAGACCATGCGTGGGAACAGCATCTAGAGGTAGAATGGGGGAACCACACCACCGAAGGTCTCAGTCATCCACTAATTATTTTACCCATTAAATAAATCACATTCAGTGGTGTGAAAAATTAGTTGCCCCCTTCCTGATTTCCTATTCTTTTGCATGTTTGTCACACAAAATGTTTCTGATCATCAAACACATTTAACCATTAGTCAAAGATAACACAAGTAAACACAAAATGCAGTTTTGAAATGATGGTTTTTATTATTTAGGGAGTGAACATTGGGGCAATTCTGCTGGAATGGCATACCAGGGTGGTGGTTCCTCTATTTAAAAAGGGACACCATAGAGGGTTGACACTGCTTGGTCACCCATTCTGTTCATAACATTTATGAACAAGACTTCTGGGAGCAGCCAAGCTTCTTAGGGACTTTGATTTAGTGGCCTAATGATCAGGTCTTTGCTTTTAGGAGATGATAAGGTCCTGTTGACTTCATCAGACCATGATCTACAATTTTTGCTGGAGCAGTTCACAGCTGACAGTGAAGAAGCCAAGACCATGGTGTTGGACAGGGTAGAATACCTTTTCTAGGACAAGGATGAGGTCCTGACTCAAGTGGAGGAGTTTAAGCATCTTGGGGTCTTGTTCACAAGTGAGGAAAATGTAGAGTGAGAGATTGATAGGTGGATTGGTGCTGCTTCTGCAGTGATGTGGACATTGTACTGGTCTGTTTAGTCTCCTCCATGGAGGAGCTGGCCCAAGTGGCTGGGGAGAGAGAAGTCTAGACCTGCTGCTGCCCCAACAACCTGACCACAGATAAGTGGAAGAAAATGGATAGATGGATGATGGATGGACTTTAGTGAAAGAAAAATATCGAGGGCAACAGTGGCAAAGTTAAGTGCCTGCCCCATAACTGGAAGGTTGCAGAATCAAGCCTCGTCTTTTGCAGTCATTGTGTCCTTGGACGAGACACTTAACCCTCCTTGTCTGCTGGTGGTGGTCAGAGGAATTGGTGGCACCCGTGTTCAGCAGCTTCGCTTTCGTCAGTGAGCCCCAGGGCAGCTGTGGCTCGTGTTTAGCTCATCACCACCAGCGTGTGAATGTGTGTGTGAATTGGTGAATGGCTGTGTTGTGAAGGGCCTTGGGGAATTGTTGAACCCTTCTCTCCTCTTTATTTTTTGTTTTAATTTTAGTTTAATGGTGTTGCTCTCCTGCTTATCTGTTCTCAGACCAGTACCAGGCCTACATGAAGCAGCAGGATGTGACATATAAAACTGAAGTGACTGCGACGTTGGTCCCTGAGCCTGCTCCGGTCCTGAGTCAGTCCGATCTTGATCAGAGGAGGATCACCACCCCCATGAGCTTTGTCTCAGAGACGGTACTCTTTCTGTTGATCTGGGAGCTGAAGGGTGATGCAATCCTCTCTTCACTTTACATTTTGTTCTTTGTCCAGGAATTCCTTGTTTCATCCTTTGAGGAGCGGATCATCCAGGAGATTGAACTCCGTATCCGGAGGATCACCTACAGAGAGCTGGTGATGGAGGATGAAGAGCTGATGGTGACTGTTGCTGAGGAAGATGCGGTGCTGCCAAGCTTTGACACTCCAGTTAAAAACTACCGGATTGTAGAGGGAATGGGTGTAACGTTTCACTGCAGGATGTCTGGAATCCCGCTGCCAAAGGTACTGAGAAGTTCCCAACTTTCCCACTCAGACTCTGCTTCATTAAACTAAAGCTACATGGGTTTAAACCCCATCAGTAATTCTGAGATATTCAGACTTAACCTTCACCGTTTGCATTTACTTGTCTCCTCTATGTTATTTATGTGAAGTTTTTCAAGTGGTCAGGGTTTTGTTGTTTAGGTTTTGTAGACAACAGGTAAACCTTCAGAAGGACCTGTCTCAGGAGGAGCTTTAACCTGTGTTGATCCTTGTAGATTGTTTGGTATAAAGATGGGCAGCGCATCAGGCTTGGAGGTAGGTACCAGATGGAGGTTCTTCAGGATGGACGGGCCAGCCTCCGTCTGCCTGTGGTCCAACCAGAAGATGAAGGTGTGTACACAGCCTTCGCCTCCAACATGAAGGGAAACGCCGTGAGCTCAGGGAAGCTCTACGTTGAGCCTTCTGGAACTATGACACCTCCCAGATACACCCCATATTCCTCCATGCAAAGGATCAGGTGAGACCTAACGAGATAGACTAACCCTCCAGAGGTCAGGGCTCATCATCTGAATAATCCGATAATGTTTTTCTTCAGAAACTGTAAAACAGTAGATACTGGACGTGGTAAATGCTGTCATTAATAACTGTTTTAGATCTGCATCTCCTCGTTCTCTGAGCCGCTCTCCTGGCCGCTCACCCAGCCGCTCACCTGGACGCTCCCCCGCCCGCCGCCTTGATGACACTGATGAGATTCACCTGGAGAGACTTTATAAACCTGTGTTTGTCATGAAGCCGTCCTCCATTAAATGCTCAGAGGGACAAACTGCCAGGTTTGACCTGAAGGTTGTTGGCAGACCGATGCCTGATACCTACTGGTTTCATGATGGTAAGAGAATCATCTCTGAAGGTATTCTGTTTGTCTGTTTTTGTTCTTAAACCCTTTAATCATTCTTTTACAGGAAAACAAGTGGTCAATGACTTCACTCACAAGATTGTGATAAAAGAGGATGGGACTCAGTCTCTGATCATCGTCCCTGCTGTGCCGAAGGACTCTGGAGAGTGGACTGTTGTTGCTCAGAACAGAGCTGGGCGGACATCTGTATCTGTTGCTCTCTCCGTTGAAGGTATGTGTCTTTATTTAACAAACTCTAATAACTCCAGAAGAAGTGTAGCTGTGTTAACTGGTCTCGCGTTGTGGAATCTGTAGCTCGAGAAAGCATCACCAGACCTCAGTTTGTGGAGAAACTGAAGAACATCACAGTGAAGCAGGGAACTTTGGTGGAGTTGGCTGTCAGAGCCATTGGAAACCCCCTACCAGACATAGTCTGGCTGAAGAACAGTGACATTATAACCCCACAGAAACATCCACAAATCAAGTAAACATCTTTATTCTAGTACCAGGAAGTTCTCCTGATTTCTAAAATTAAACTGTGGAATAATTTTCTTGCGGTCTTACTTGCAGAATCGAAGGAACCAAAGGAGAGACCAAGTTTCAGATCCCCTCTGCTGCAGGCTCAGATAGCGCCTGGTACACTGCTACAGCCATCAACAAAGCTGGCAGAGACACCACCCGCTGCAGAGTCAACGTGGAGATGGACCATGCTGCTCCTCAGACTGAGAGGAAGCTGATTATTCCCAAAGGAACTTACAAAGCCAAAGAGATTGCAGCTCCTGAGCTGGAGCCCTTACACCTGCGATACGGCCAGGAGCAGTGGGAGGAGGGAGACCTCTACGACAAAGAGAAGCAGCAGAAACCTCTTTTCAAGAAGAAACTTACTTCTGTCCGCATGAAATGTTTTGGTCCGGCTCATTTTGAATGCAGACTGACTCCGATCGGGGACCCCACCATGACGGTGGAGTGGCTGCATGACGGCAAACCTCTGGCAGCCGCCAACAGGCTGCGTATGGTCAACGAGTTTGGCTACTGCAGCCTTGACTATGAAGTAGCTTACGCCAGAGACAGCGGCGTCATCACCTGCAGAGCTACCAACAAGTTTGGAGTGGACCAGACCTCGGCCACCCTGATTGTCAAGGATGAGAAGGGCCTGGTTGAGGAAACGCAGCTTCCTGAAGGCAGGAAGGGAGTGTATCGAATGGATGAGATTGAGCGCATGGCTCATGAAGGTGGACCGTATGGAGTCAGCGGTGATGAAGAGTCTGAAAAGACCAAACCCGAAATCGTCCTGGTTCCAGAACCATCCAGAGTTCTAGAAGGGGACATTGCTCGATTTCGCTGCAGAGTGACTGGTTATCCGGCTCCAAAGGTTAACTGGTACCTGAACGGACAACTCATCCGTAAAAGCAAGAGATACAGACTTCGTTACGATGGTATTTACTATCTGGAGATTGTTGACATCAAGTCATATGACTCTGGAGAAGTCAGGGTGGTCGCTGACAATCCGTTAGGGACTGCTGAGCACACTGTAAAGCTGGAGATCCAACAGAGAGAGGACTTTAGGTCAGTCTTGCGTCGTGCTCCAGAACCCAGAGCTGCAGAGGCCTCTCATGAGTCCGGCAGAATTGGGTTTGATATCGTCAAGATGGACAAACCTGGTGAGGTCCCACAGGACAGGGAGGTTGTCAAACTACGTAAAGCACAAAGAATAGTTCATGAGAAAACATCAGAAGAGTCAGAGGAGCTTAGGAGCAAGTTCAAACGCAGAACAGAGGAGGGTTTCTATGAGTCCATCTCTGCTGTGGAATTCAAGTCTCATAAAAGGGATGACTCTTATGAAGATCTCCTGAAGAAAACAAAAGAAGACCTGCTTCATCACCTCAAAGAAAAAGAAGAAGCTGAAAGGAGGAAACTGGAGGAGCAGGGTGAAGTGACCATTCCCACTATCAAACCAGAGAGGATCCAGCTGTCTCCCAGCATGGAAGCACCACACATCCTCGAACGCATCCAAAGCAAGACCATAGCTCCGATGGAAGAGGTTCACTTCAGAGTCAGGGTTGTTGGTAGACCAGAACCTGAGTGCCAGTGGTTCAAGAATGGTATTCAGCTAGAAAAGTCTGACCGTGTTTACTGGTACTGGCCAGAGGATCACGTGTGTGAGCTGGTGATCAGAGATGTGACAGTAGAAGATTCTGCCAGCATCATGGTCAAAGCCATGAACGTTGCTGGAGAAGCCTCAAGCCATGCTTTCCTTTTGGTGCAAGGTAAAGTCCCCTCCTGCAGAATGTATCAGGCTCAGATGTATGTTCATTGAATTCAAGTATCTGATGTTTTCTTATTGCAGCAAAAGCAGCAGTTAGCTTTACCGAAAACCTGGCGGATGCCAGTGCCAAGGAACACGACACCATGGTGACGTTTGAATGTGAACTCAATGAACCGTTTGTCAAGGTCAAATGGCTGAAAAACAACATGGAGATCTTCTCAGGCGATAAATACAGAATGCACTCTGACAGAAAGGTCCACTTCTTATCTGTGTTGATGATTGAAATGAGTGATGATGCAGAGTACAGCTGTATGGTAGTAGATGACGAGAACATAATTACAAGGGCCAGGCTCCACGTAGAAGGTATGTTAACATCTTCTGTTTTACTTGGTCTTCTTTTGAGTTGAAAGCTAAATGTTCTGGATGCTACTCTATTCCCAGGTGCTGCCCTGGAGCTCATCAAGCAGATGGAGAACATTGAGATACCAGAAAGTTACTCTGGGGAGTTTGAGGTTGAACTGTCTCGTGAAGATGCTGAGGGCACCTGGTTCTTTGGAGAAAAGGAACTCTCTCCCAGCAGTAAATATGTCATGTCCTCCCGCCGAGGAAGACACTCCCTCTTCGTTAAGGATGTCAGGAGAGAAGACCAGGGGAAGTACTTCTTTGTCTGTGGAGACCTGAGGACCAGTGCTTCACTCAAGATGAAATGTAAGCTGCTGGAGATCTTGTCATTACCTCTACAGTAATGTGTTGTGAAGTTGTAAAGCGTTTGGTATCCTGTCCGTCATATCTTCATCACTGATGGTGGTGATCAGTCCAACAGTGGCAGAGGAGTTAGGTGGGGGGTATGTGTATTTGTTTAGTCATGTGGACAGTGAATGAAATCCTCTCAGAACCGTAAATGTGTGTGGTGTGTGTACAAAATAACGTAAATTCAGCTTTAATCATTTTCATTCTATACAAAATCTGCTGATTTTAGAAGGCTCAATGTCAGTATATCAAATAAGCAAATATCGGTTATCGGCCATAACAATGATATTAATATCAGACATCGGTATCGGCCCAACAATTTCATATCGGTGCATCACTACTGGGAACCAGGGCTGCAACAAACGATTCATTGGATCATCAGTGAATCGGATGGGGTATCGACTTGATTAATCGAATTAAACAGGACAATTAAAATCAAATCAGATGAAACTTTATTAATAAAGCACTTTTCATCCAAAAATATGTAACTACAAAGTGCTTTACAGATTAAAAAGACCCCACATATCCCACAAATGTCATTTTAATTAAAAACTTTATTAAACAACAAAACATGATTAGAAAACAGTTCAATAGCGTGTAAAACAATACGCTAACATCTAAATATAGCCATAGATAAACTACGATCAGTAAAATTTTATGTGTTTCATTAACATGTTCAGTAGAAGCTACTGGAAATGCTAATAACATTTAATTTCTACTGCTAAAAATGTAATGGTGACAAATTTATTATGTTGGGTTTGGCAATAATCCAGTTTAAATTATGTTCACAGATAGATGCGTTTGTGATTTGCATGCTACAGTGGCTTGCCTTAATCCTGCAGCTGTGTTTACCAGAGGAGACTCGAACCTGACAACAGTTCTGCTCACTAGCGCTGCAGTCAGCTAAGAATAAATAGGATGGTGACGAGGACTTATTTTCCGCTTGTAGATTTTACATGTTCTTAGTTTCACAACCATCGTGTTTTTTTCTGAACCCACTTGATCGTGAGCCTGATACCAGCTAGCATTAGCTAATCTGTCCGTAGTTGCACCCAGACCATTTCTGGCTTTGCGGACCAAGCTCACACTTCTCTGGTACAGGGGCTGAATGGCCCTTAGAAAAGGCCATCCACCCCAGGAACTGCCCCTGATGACCATGCTATTTTGCAGAGATGTGTCAACCACTACAGCTCTACAACGTCCATATAGCTTTGAGATTCCTTGTTGGAAGGATCTCATTCACCCCCGGGGCTGCTGTGTTTGACTTCCTCATCAACTTCTGCCCCAGAGATTGGCCCCAACTATAGCCCCAGTCAACATCAGCAGCCCCCTTTCCCACTGAAAACAGTGTGGGTGAGTTGTTACCTTCCTCTCCTGAGGTGCCAGATGTTTTGCCAGAACCTTTTTGGAGCCGATTGATAGTGTTGGGTCTGACAAGTCAAGTATAAAGTCAAGCGTTGAGCTACAACCTAGGGTACCCTGGTACCATGTATACTGATGGGCATCCTTATGTTTGAACATGGTGTTTGTTATGGCCAAACTGTACCTTTGCACAGAATCCAGAAACAAAACGCCACTCCAGTTCAAATTGGGCGAGCCGTTCCTCCCAATCACTGCCTCCAGGTCATGGGATTATTAACAACATGTTGATCACGGTGATCTCTGAGAGCTGAATCATACAAATGTCTGTATTTACGAACCTCTGCCATACTAGTTCTTGCCAGTCCGCCATGTTTTTCCATGTCCGACTGTCCGCATGGTTAGAAATTTTCCTAGGTGCGCGGTGCGGAAAGTTTGGGCCGTGCGGAGGCGTGGTGGAGGGGCGTGGTTGTAAAATGACGCAATTTTGCCGCGCAGAGCCGTGCGGACCTCGCGGACGCGTCAAGCATAAACCAACCTTAACTGTCACAGTGAAGTCAGACAACAATTTTTTTTTCTTATTTTAATCCCTTTATGAAAAGTATCGGATCGGGACTCGGTATCGGCAGAAACTCAAAATCAAATGACTCGGACTCGGATCGGGAGCAAAACAACGTGATTGGAACATCCTTAAAAATAGTGATTTAGGGCTCCAGCTACAGCAGTTGAGTCACCTGTTAGTGCTAGTGACATTACTCTGTCCAGTCAGTTTCTTTATTCTAGAGTTTCCCCTATTATTTTCTATTGTTACGTTCTCCTGTCACCTTGTTTCTCAGTGCTGTAAATGTAACTGTCAGTTGTCAGTCCTCACTTCAAAGAGATTTTTAGGCTCTGATCTCGATCTTTCATCAGTTGAAAAATACTGTCATTAATCTATGGAAGGTACCCCCATTGGTTTTAAAATAATTATTTTTTAGAGAATTTGTTAATGAGCGTACTTAATTTATCTGTTAAACACTGGCTAGTGTGCTCCAGATTCTCCAGATCTGTGTTAAATTAAAACTCTCAGTCACTTGTTTGAGTTGCCTCCTTGCAGACTTATCTTTTTAAGTTACATTCATATCACCGATTACAATCAGCTCTCTGTTGAGATCACATTGTAGCAAGTTTTCATAAAAACTGACATTAGATGAAGGTGGGCGGTTGATAACAATTAGAGTGAATAACATTTCTGGAGAAATGTTTAGACCAGATATTCAAGCTCACATGTTATGCCTTTACAGACCAGCGATGTGTGGGCTTTTTCAGCCACATTGTAGTAACGCACCAGTTTACATGGCCGGTAACAATAACGGCACAGCAACGATGAAAACGCGTTTTATTTTGGTGGGTAGCAGTAGCCCAGAAGGTGGTGGGCTGTCCAGTAAAGGCTGAAGGAGCTGTAAAGGCACAGGCCATGATGTCTCTAGCTGTTCAGCTGCATGTGTTGAGGTTCTTTAGTTCCATGTTGTAGATGCCGGCTGACTGGTTTCGCGACTGTGGTCGTGTGCTTTGATGAAGACTTTGATGTTTGCTCCTCAGTGCGTCCCGTGACTCTGATGCAGCCCCTAACCGACCTGACCATATGTGAGGGTGACATTGCTCAGCTGGAGGTCAGGTTCTCCCAGGAGAATGTCGAGGGAACATGGATGAAGAGTGGCCAGGCCATCTCTGTCTCGGACCGAGTCCACATCATCATTGATAAGCAAGTTCACAAACTCCTGGTGGAGAATGTCAGCAGTGAAGATGCTGCTTCCTACTCATTTATTGTTCCAACTCATGATATCTCCACCTCATGTAAACTCAACGTTCAGAGTAAGTGAGCTACATCTGAGCCAGTTCAAATTGGACCTCTATGGCCTCTCAGATCCTGACCTTCTGTCTTTCTTTAAGCTATCGACATTGTGGTCCCTCTGAAGGATGTGTCCTCCATTGAAGGGACAAAGGCGGTTCTTGAGTCCAAGATTTCTGCTCAAGATATCAGCTCTGTCAAATGGTACCACAACGACAAACTGCTGGTGTCCAGCGAGCGAGTCCAGGTGGTTCCAAAGGGAGCCAAGCAGCGTCTGGTCTTCAGCAGGACATTTGCTTCAGATGAAGGATGTTACAAACTGGTGGTTGGAAAGGTGGAAAGCAGCTGCACTCTGACAGTGGAATGTGAGACAGATTATCTTCTTTCCTCTGACTGCTTTGTGGTTGCAGTTATCTATTCTAACAGCATTGTCCTTACAGCGGTAAACATCGTGAAGCACATGGTGGACAACGAGTGCTCAGAGTCTCAGAAAGTCACCTTTAATGTTGAAGTGTCTCACCCTGGAATCGATCCTGTCTGGACCTTCAGGAACCAGCAGCTCAAAGCTGGAGCCAAGTACAAAATGGAGTCCAAGGGAACATCTCACTCTCTGACGGTTATGGACACCATGAAGGATGAGGAGGGCCAGTACGTGTTCCACGCTGGTGAGAAGACCTCCAGTGCCAAACTCACCGTCTCTGGTAGGTCCAAACCCAACAAGGTTAAAACGGTTCTGCATAGAATAGCACCTTTGTGCTGATGAAGACTGTATGTGTAGCTCAGCAGACGAAGGTCTCTTGTTTTCATGAGAATGCAGCAGCTCAGCATTTAGAGATGATTCCCCATCTGAACTGTCTCCACCAGGTGGTGCCATTACTCAGCCGCTGCAGGATGTGACTGTAGCTGAGTCTCAGACTGCCGAGTTTGAGTGTGAAGTCGCCAATGCTGATGCTGAAGGCAAGTGGCTGAAGGACGGTCAGCCAGTGGACTTCAATGAGAATGTGGTGAGCGAGGTGAACGGGGCAGTCCGCCGCCTTGTCACCATCATCACCAGACCCCAGGACGCTGGAGAGTATACCTACCAGGTTGCCAACTCCAAAACCAGCGCCATCCTGAAAGTGGAGGGTGAGTACCAGCCTCCTAACAGTTCACAAGACAGGAACCAAATAATTACTGAAACATGAGTAATACGTAGACAAGCTGCTGGCTCGTCTTAGTTCCTGTCTCTGATTGAATGCATCTGGTGTTTGATGTTTAGCTGTGAAGATCAAGAAGACCCTGAGGAACCAGACTGTGACTGAGACTCAGGAGGCCGTGTTCTCCCTGGAACTCACCCACCCAGATGTAAAAGGATCCCAGTGGATCAAGAACGGATTCGAGCTGCAGAACAGTGACAAGTATGAAATTACCTCTGAAGGAACGGTCCAGACTCTGAAGGTGAAGGACTGCGACACACAGGACGAAACGGTTTACTCCTACAAACTGGGGAAGCTGTCGGCCAGTGCCAGACTGAACGTAGAGAGTGAGTATCGACGTATTCATTTTCACGGGCGGCGTTGTTCTACAGCAGCGTTTCAGCGTCTAATGACCTCCTCTTGATCCCGCAGCTATCAAGATTGTGAAGAAGATTAAGGATGTGACATCACTGATGGATGGCACAGCCTCCTTTGAGATGAGCCTGTCACATGACAACATCCCCGTCAAGTGGTTGTTCAATGGTGTGGAGCTGAAGTCCAGTGACAAGTGTAAGATTCTGTCCGAGAGGAAAGCTCACAAGCTGCTGCTGCAGAAGGTGGATGAGAGCGCTGCTGGAGAGTACACGGCCATGGTGGGACACCTGCAGTGCAGCGCCGTGCTCACTGTGGAGGGTACGCAACACCCCGACACCCCGTCATGAAACGCTAAAGCGGAAAAGCTTATTCTGTCAATCATAAACAATAAATTTAATTTACTCTACTACGCTTTTTTCTCTTTTGTTCATTAATTAAAATCAGAGGCAGTTTGTAGAAAATAGTCAGAAGTATTATCTCCTGATTTTTTATTAAGAAATTCAAACATTTAAAAAATATAAAAAAGTCACATAAAACATAAATAAAAAATTATTTGGCACTACTTTACCACAACATTTAAAACCTCGAAAGACCAAGCTCAATGTCAGAAATAAAAATCGTTTAACAACGTCTCAATAAATAAGCTTTGGTAACGGATTATTGGAACGAGTGAAAACGAAAATCATCTGAGTTCACATCAACAACATCCTGCTGAGCAGAGAGAAATAGATGCTTTAACAAATGGATGTCAACAATATCTCAATATAGTTAATAATACCAGAGACAATGTCAGTCGTAATAATTACTTTAATTGCAATGAATTATTTACTTAATGGTCATTAGAAGCAATGATGTAGAATATCCTGAGCAGCTGTGAGTCATCATGTTTTATTATCTTCAGCCATGGAAGCAGTAATCTAATAATCATAACACATCAAACGTACATAACGCTTTTCAGGACACTCAGACGCTTCCATGCACTCTCACATTCACACACTGCTAGTGATGGTGAGCTACTGTGTAGCTACTGCCGCCCTGGCCTGCCCTAATCTGGATCAGTAATCTGAGCAGCTCAGATTTGGGGCCTTTAATGTAAAAATATTCAGTCTGGTTCTCGATGCAGAAAAACTTAGCTAGAGGTGTGTGCGTTTATGTGTGTGTGTGTGTGTGTGTGTGTGTGTGTGTGTGTGGTGTGGTGTGGTGTGGTGTGTGTGTGTGTGTGTGTGTGTGTGTGTGTGTGTGTGTGTGTGTGTGTGTGTGTGTGTGTGTGTGTGTGTGTGTGTGTGTGTGTGTGTGTGTGTGTGTGTGTGTGTGAAACAGGATCCCTAAATAAACAGGAAGTCAGTATGGATGTGGTCAGGCCAACACACTAGCTGCAGCTTTAAGTGAGTCGGGCCTGAACCTCAGACAGAACCAGCTGAGCTCTTCTGTTGCTTTAGAGTCAGCAGGGTGGAGTCATCCAGGAGAAGGTTAGGTCCTCTGAGGAAAGATTCTTGTTTACGTTTGGGTTTATGGGATCTGCTCTGAAATAAAAACAGATTATTAAAGTTTAACGTCTGAGCAAGAAGAGGGCAGGGCCTAAAACCAGCCTTGTGGTCCTCCAGACTCTGATCTGAGAAGAACTGCTGAAGAACATTAACACCAGCATGTGTCGAGGTGATAGAAGAACACTGTGATCCATCTGGTGGAAAGCTGCAGTCAGGTCCTCCAGAACCAGCAGAACCTCTAGGACAAACTCAGCCTCAAGCTTCTAGAAGTATTTGGACCCGTGGAGCAGCAGAGTCTAATAATCCAGCATAGAATTAGTTTAAATGTTTAAAAAACAAAATCTGGTTTCATTTTTTGTTTAAAAGCCAAAGTTCCGATAAGTTCTGATGTTTCCGGTGACATCAGGTGTTTGTGTTCTCTAATGAAAAAACTTAGTAGAGAGCCTGATTGTCCTTCTTGTCTCCCACAGCTCTGAGAGTCACCAAACCCATGAAGAGCGTGGAGGTTCCTGAGACTCAGGTGGCCTCTTTTGAGTGTGAAGTTTCTCACTTCAACGTGCCGTCCACCTGGCTGAAGAACGGCGTGGAGATCGAGATGAGTGAGAAGTTCCGGATCGTGGTGCAGGGGAAAGTCCACCAGCTGAAGATCATGAACACCAGCAGGGACGACTCTGCAGAGTACACCTTCATCTGTGGGAATGACCGCGTGTCGGCCACACTCACTGTCAACGGTAAGAGGCCCTCATTCCTGAACAGCGAGGTATCGCCACGAGTCTGAAACTCACAAAACGCGTCATCTGTCCCGCAGCTGTCCTCATCACCTCCATGCTGAACAATCTGAACGCTCAGGAGAGGGACACCGTCACCTTTGAGGTCACTGTCAATTATGAGGGCATAACTTATAAGTGGCTGAAGAACGGCGTGGAGGTGAAGTCCTCAGATAGGTGCCAGGTCCGCAGCCGGCAGCTCACGCACTCACTTTCCATCCGGAACGTTCACTTCGGAGACGGAGGAGAATACCAGTTTGTTGCTGGTTCTGCCGCTTCAGCGGCTAACCTGTTTGTTGAAGGTAAACGTTTGTTCTCGAGTCTTAGTTTAAAATCTACAAATTAAAATGAAGCACCTGTAAATGAATGGAGCTGGTCTTCATCGCTGTTGCAGCTCGTGTGATCGAGTTCACCAAGAAGATCAAAGACATAAAAATCACAGAGAAGAAGAAGGCCATCTTTGAGTGTGAAGTCTCTGAGCCAAACATCCAGGTAATGTGGATGAAGGACGACCAGGAGCTGGACCTATCTGAAGAGAGGTCAGTCGGATGTTGTCTTCTCTAAGCAAACAGAAGCCTTTAGAGGTCAAAGTTCATCTAAACGTCACCCATGTGTCCCACAGGTACATAGTGACAGCAGAGAAGTATGTTCACCGTCTGATGATCCAGACAGTCCGCATGCACGATGCTGGAGAATATTCTGTAGTTGCTGGGTCGAATGTTTCCAAGGCCCAGCTGACCGTGGAGGGTCGGGACATCCAGATCTCAGAACCTGCTGAGAAGGAGATCACAGTGAGTTGGTTTTTGAGGGATCTTTTCTGCTGACTGAGTAAAGTTTCAGCCGCTGGTTTTCCAGATGAACCAGAACTTTTCCCTCACAGGTTTTGGAGAAACACAGAGCGACCTTTGAGTTTGAGGTGAATGAAGATGATGTTGAAGGTCGCTGGCTGAAGAATGGTGTGGAGATCCAGTTCTCCATGGAGGAGGAGCGGTTCAGCTACGTGGCCATCAGGAGGCTGCACCGTCTTACCATCTCTGAGACCTACAGGAGTGACACCGGGGAGTACACCTTCATTGCCGGCAAAAACCGAAGCACCGTGAACCTCCGGGTCAACAGTGAGTTTAGTAGGACCACCTTCATTGACAGTGGTGTATCCCACCAGTTTTTTTTTTTTACCAGACCATTTGTTCTTCAGTCCCAGAACCTCCTCAGATCCTCCGTCACATGGAACCTCAGTCTGTGGAGTCTGGAAAGCCAGCTCGCTTCTCAGTCCAGGTGAGTGGCGTTCCTCAGCCACAGGTCTACTGGTACAAGAACTCCCAGGCTCTGTCACCTGGCTTCAAGTGCAAGTTCCTCCTTGATGGAAGTGAGCACACGCTGCTGCTGATTGAGGTCTTTCCTGAGGATGCCGCCATCTACAACTGCGAGGCCAAGAATGACTACGGCACCGCCACCAGCACTGCTACGCTTAATGTGGAAGGTAAGACCAGAGGTCCCACCTGCTGAGCAAATACTGGTGTTACTGGGCAGAACTTGGTCAGATCCTGATTTTTGTGTTTCTCAGTGTCTGAGGTGGTATCTCCAGACACGGCTGCTCCCATTGCTCCACCAGTTATCATCACGCCCATCGCTGATACCTCGGCCCGTGAGGGGGAACCAGCCCGTTTCCAGTGCCGAATCCGAGGAGATGGTGAGGAACCTTCAGAAGGGACTGGATATCTTTCAAATCAACTTAAGACATTTTAGGTCAGCTAAGGAACAACACTGAAGACCTGCTGAAGTCAGGTGGATCAATCTTAGACTACGTGTGACCTTCTGATTATTGTCAAGTATCTTCAGCATAGCCGTGAAGTTAGAGACGTGGGGGGTTATGTTTGATGAGGATTCATCCATGCTGGAGATGACAGGATGTGGAGAGAAGAACTCTGTAGACCTATCTCCCCCTAAGTTAGATTGAGGAGGTACCTGGGACATGCAGTCTAGACCAGATCTGGGGTCCGTGACCCCTTCAAAGGGTTCCCTAAAATGTTGCAGGGGGTCCCCACAATTTTGTGTGTGCTGAGGTTGTGAGGTTACCAAGATTTTATCTGTAAAAGCTGCATGTATACAATCCAGATGACACACCCAATAGTACAACCCAAAGTGTGCAGGAGCCACGGCTCTCTGCCAGGGTGACGTTCATAATTATTCACATTTAATCGTGTGCACGCACGTAGAGTTGGCGTTGGGGGCCCTGGCCTCTTGGACACAGGAAAGGGGGTCCTTTTAAAACAAGGTTGGGAACCACTGTTCTAGACGCTTGTCATCTTTAATGATCCCCTTCTCCTCTTGGTGCAGATGTGAAGATCAGCTGGTTCCACAAGGAGAATGAGATCAAGCAGTCAGACTTTTTCAGAATGTCCCAGTTTGACGACAGCTGCCAGCTGGAGATCTCCCGGGTCTACCCGGAGGACGAAGGAGAGTACACCTGCATGGCCACCAACCACACTGGGAGGGTGTCCTGCTCTGCCACACTCAGTCTGGATGGTGAGTTCCATGACCGGAGAAACCAGTGTTCACTCTGCAGAAAACAACCAGACAGATGTGTGGTTGTCTCACGTGCCTTTGAGGTGATTCATCTCTACCAGAATAGATCTATCTTTGGTTCAGGTGATGCAGGTTCTGAGGTTCCTACCTGCCTGAGACAACCTGAGATGTTTCTGTTGTTCACAAAGATCCAGTTAGTAAAAATGAAAATGTCTGAAGATCATCTGGAGCTTCAAACAGTATCTACAGAACCCATCTCACAAGTGTTACTTTGGTGAAACCAGGTGTCCTCCTGAAGACTCGGGTCCTCTCGTATCACAGAATAAACATCCGAAGGTTCTGTGAGCCTGGCTAGTTTTAAATGTGTTTGTTATGTTTAATGAAATCTCCCAGCCATCAATCAATCAATCAATCATCAATCAATCAATCATTCAATCAAAGCTTTATTTATATATGGCACCTTCCACAACCCTTTTCAGGCGCCCAAGGCGCTACAACACACTGTAAAAAGACATGTAGTCATAAAAAAAGAAGTTAAACATGCAACGTAAAACGTAGAGCACAGGGATAAAGCGATAATAAAAGCGCCCTAACAAGGACTAAAACAGGAATTAAAAACAAGACCTAAACATAACATGAAAGCAAGCCGACTTCAAAAAGTGTTCTGGAAATGCTCATCGGAAAAAAAAAGAGTTTTCAGTGGACTTAAAAACCGGCAAAGAGGTAGACAGCCTAACAGCAGGTGGCAGCTGGCTCCACAGTGATGGAACAAGGACTGACAAAGCCCGGTCCCCACGAGATTGACACTTAGAACGAGGGACGATAAGGAGGCCCTGATCAGAAGATCTCCTTCCTGGAGCTCCAGAAGTTCCACCAGCCAGGAGCTTTAACTAAGATCTCAGATCACTCTGATGATCTCTAGAGCATTAACCTGAAGCATCTTCTTCACAAACAAGGTAGTTGTCATGAAAACGTCATAGATTTAGACAGGCCAAGGAACTTCTTCCGCCCAGAACACAGGTCTACATGTTGCTGTGGCTCCATTGGTCTCTACAGCTGCTGCTGTTTGCTGCTCCAGACCTGCTTCGGACATGAGCAGCTGATCTGTGCTGTCAGGTTTTGATGTTTTTATGGAATCTGCTCCACAGGGGTGGGGGGTGGGGTGTAAACACAGCAAGGCTCCTGAAGCCCATCAACACATTTCCTTTCAGGTCAGGAGCGACTCGTGAGCAGTCCTGACTTTCTCTGGCACCAGCAGGCCTCCAGCATGAGGAAACCTTCTGCTGGCCTCAAGCCAGAGTTCCTCCGACCAATCACTGGCTGCACAGTGGAACATGGGGGCGTGGCTCGTTTCCACGCATGCCTGTCGGCTTCTCTCAAGCCAGAAATCACCTGGTTCCACAACCAGCAGCCGATCCAACCCACCAAGAATGTGGTGTTCCACTTTGATGAGCTAACGAATGTTGCTACGCTCATCATCGTGGATGCCTTCTCCGAGCACGCCGGGCAGTACGCCTGCAGGGCAGCTAACAGCGCCGGGGAGGCCGTGTGCTCCGCGACCCTCACCATTACCAAAGAAGGTACCACCTGGATGGGTCCGTTTGCAGCCACCTTCCCTCTGGAAGCAACTGGTTCTTTTCCCGAACCCTGAGAGGATGTCCCGATCCAAACAGCTGATCTCTAAATATCTCTGAAAACATCAGATCCTAAAGACTCAAACATTTATAAACTTTAGAAAATACTTTTAAACTGAACAATGAGGTTTAAATACACAGTGTGATGCAGTCGGGACATCCCTCAGTCTCTTTGTGTCCTTTAGTGTCCCTCAGTGTCCTTTAGGGCTGGGCGATAGAACGGTTTTGAAAGAACTTTTTCTTGATTGACAAAAAGGGGTCGATAGAACTTTGATGTCAAGAATAGAGCCACACAGCTCAGCCAGGCGGGTGCCACTGGGGACTTTGGGTTGGGCTCTCCAATCTCTGGTGCTGAGGTCACTGAGGTGGTCAAAAAGCTCCTCGTTGGCAAGGCCCCGGGGGTGGATGTGATCCGCCTGGAGTTCCTCAAGGCTCTGGATGTTGTAGGACTGTGTTGGCTGATGTAGCTCTGCATTATCGCGTGGACATCAGGGGCAGTCCCACTGGATTGGCAGACCGGGGTGGTGGGCCCCCTATTTTTAAAGGGGAACCGCAGGATGTGTTCCAACTACAGTCACACTCCTGAGCCTCCCTGGTAAGGTCTATTCAGGGGTTCTGGAGAGGAGGGTGTGACGGATTGTCGAACCTCAGATTTAGGAAGAGCCATGTGGTTGTCATCCTGGCCGTGGAACACTGGACCAGCTCTACACCCTTAGGGGGTCCTGGAGGGTGTGTGGGAGTTTGCCCAACCAATCTACCTGTGTTTTGTGGATTTAGAGACGGAATCTCTCGGGGGGCCCTGTAGGGGGCTACTCCGGGAGTATGGGGTACCAGGCCCTCTGATACGGGCTGTTAGGTCCCTGTATGACCGGTGTCAGAGCTTGGTCCTCATTGCCGGCAGTAAGTCGGGCTCATTCCCGGTGAGAGTTGGACTCCACCAAGGCTACCCTTTGTCACCGATTCTGTTCATAACCTTTATGGACAGGATTTCTAGGCACAGCCAAGGTGTTGAGGGCATCCGTTTTGGTGGCCTGAGGATCAGCTCTCTGCTTTTTGCAGATGAGTGGTCCTGTTGACTTCATCAGAACGTGATCTTCAGCTTTCTCTGGAGCAGTTCGCAGCTGAGAGTGGAGCAGCTGGGATGAGAATCAGCTCCTCTAAATCTGAGACCATGGTCTTGAGTCAGAAAATGGTAGAATGACTTCTCCAGGTCAGGGATGAGGTCCTGCCTCATGTGGAGGAGTTTAAGTATCTCGGGGTCTTGTTCACGAGTGAGGGAAAACTGGAGCGTGAGATCGATAGACGGATTGGTGCTGCATCTGCAGTGAAGCGGGCGTTGTACCGGTCTGTCGTGGTGAAGAGAGAGCTGAGTCAGAAGGCGAAGCTCTCAATTTACCGGTCAATCTATGTTCCTACCCTCACCTATGGTCATGAGCTTTGGGTAGTGACTGAAAGGACGAGATCACGGATACAAGCGGCCGAAATGAGTTTTCTCCACAGGGTGGCTGGGCTCTCCTTTGGAGATAAGGTGAGAAGCTCGGTCATCCGGGAGGGGCTCGGAGTAGATCCGCTGCTTCTCCACATCAAGAGGAGCCAGTTGAGGTGGCTCAGGCATCTGGTCAGAACGCCTCCTGGGTGAGGTTTTCCGAGCACGTCCAATCGGGAGGAGGCTTAAAGGAAGACCCAGGACATGCTGGAGGGACTACGTCTCTCGGCTGGCCAGGGAACACCTTGGGATTCACCCGGAGGAGCTGGCCCAAGTCGCAGAAGGGGAGAGGGAGGTCTGGGCCTCTCAGCTTAGGCCGCTGCCCCCACGACCCCACCGTGGTTAAGCAGCTGAAGATGTCTGGATGGTGGAAATACACACATATATTGCCCGATATAAAAATTAATATCAAATTTTTTTTTTGTATCGCCCAGCCCTTGTGTCTTTCAGTGTCCCTTAGTGTCCTTCATCAGACAAACCTCTTCATCACCCATTTTCCCCTCCTCCTTATTCCTACTCCTCTCCAGAAATCTGACCCTGCCCCCTTCTGAACTTTTCTGGTCTGGGAGTAAACTAGTGTGGGTCAGAGGGTGGAGATCTGGGACCATCCTGTGACCCAGCAGGAATACGCTCCTTGTTTAAATTCAGACTCTTCTTTAAAGCTCCATTCTTCTCAAAGTTTCTACAGAACTGAAGCTGTTTGTTTCCTCCACAGTGACTCACGTGAGACAGCAGATTGAAGCTGCAATCGAACAGGAAGTTAAAGGTAAGATGTTGTCTTTGATCTCCTCACAAGTTCTAGTGATCACACCTAAACTTAGTGGAAAAGGGACAGATAGATCTGATGCCTGCAGGCGTTCCTCCTTAAGGTAGTCTGTCAGCAGGTGACTCTGATCCAAGCCTTGGCTCTTTGAGATGTTTCCTGTGAAGAACCAGCTGGGGTCCTGCTGGAGAAGCTGATTTGTAGATGCATGCTGAGTGTGTGATTGGATCACAGTCAACTTGGTTCCACAGACTACTAGTAAACAAGCAAAAAGTTGAACTGTCCCTTTATCTAGTCCTCTAGCCACAGCTGCATGACATGCTCTTGTGTTCTGATGGAAAATTCCTTCCCTGTATATTTTGACCTGCTCTTATTTTGACGGGATCTTGTGGTTTCCTCCTGGAGAATACCGAAACAACTTGCTTGTTACAGTTTTTGTTTCATTTATTTTGCATCCAGAATTTCATTTTGGCATGAAGGTTCTTCTGATCTTGTCAGAGAAAAATCACCGGATGTGACTCTTTTGATGCTCTTTTAAAGATTTGCGATTCCCTTTAAAAGATCTGGAGGTCTTCTGCATCTGGAACTGGTTCTTTCCTCCTGCAACATATGTCCCAGCCTGGCTTGCAGATAGTGGGATGTGATTCCTGTGGTTTGCTTTCAAAATAACACCAGTAAAACTATATTAGTTCGAATAAACGCCTTCTCGCCCAATTTTACGGCTTCATTTTTAAGTTTGACATCAAAGTTCTGGATTGGAGAGCTTGTGCATCCATGTCCTGTTAAGGATTAGAAAGGGCGTTTATTCTCCTGTCTGCAAGTCAGGTAAGGAACATTCTAGCACTAAGCACCCATCAAATAGAACAAACAGCGAATGTTGGCCGCCCATCTTGGAAACATGTTTTTATTTCATCAATAATAAAATAATTTATGTTTTGAAGAAATTTCCACAGACGAAGGATCAAAACTTCCTGCAGGTTTCTAATAAAAAGAATCAAGTCTTGCGTTTATTCGAACAAATATGGTGAGTGAAATTATTTCTTATGGCACTGTGACTCCCAGCATGCATTTAATAATAATTCCATTAATCATCATCTTTCTGACCTGAGGTGGAGTCGCTGATAGCTGTCTGTTGTTTCTGTTTTCAGAGCTGTTTTCTCACGACAGCGGAGAAGCAGCACCACACAGCAGCTCGGAGCTGGCCAGTGCTCGACAGCTTCGCGGAGCGTTCTCTGACACCGAAGAGTTCATCGACCACAGCCTGGTGTCGGCCAACCGCTGCTCCAGCAGGACCTCCTCCATCAGCTCCTGGACTGAGAACATCAAACCGTCTTTCACCAAGAAACTGAAGTTCCAGTCGGTCCTGGAGGGGGAGCCAGTCGAGTTAAAGTGCAAACTGATTGCGTGTCCTTCACCAACCATTCTCTGGTTTCATAATAATAGATCCATTCCTAGAGAGCGCCGACGCAGGATCTGTACGGAGAGTTTAATGCACATGCACATCACCAGTCTAGTTATAGAAACCATCAGGGAGAAGGACTCTGGTAGTTATAAAGTGATGGCCATAAACACAGAAGGTTCTGCTGAGTCAACAGCATCACTTCTGGTCTCGCTTAGGGAGGAGCAGTCGGCCAACTATCTGGGCTTTGCTCGGCGCTCCGCCCAGGCCCACCAGCGCGTGGACAACCTGGCCGAGCAAAGGAAAGAGAGGAAGTTTAGGGTGGATCTCAGATGTGTAGGGTCTCCGTTTGATAAGATGGCCAAAGTTCATCAAGGTAGATCTAGATCTAAAGGTGCTTTGCTGCGTACCGTGTACTTTAGGTCTGGAACTCCATCGAAAGACAAGGAGTCAGAGAAAGAATCCAAACATCTAGAAACAGCCTCTGAGCGTGCCCTGTCCCCTCCCCCCATGTTTGACAGGTCTGAACGTTTTAATGACAGGTTCAGTGATGTCTACTGTGACCGACGCACTGGCGCCAGGTTCAGTGACAAGTTGAGCGACAGGTGTAGTGACAGGTACAGCGACAGGTTCAGTGATACGGAGAGCCTCCACAATGAGGTGAGAACAAAACTTACGACTCTTCAAAAGGCTGTGAAACAGAAGAAAAGGCTGTCCATCTCCACCATGTCTTCATCTGAGTTTGAGCTTGAGTCAGTCACCAGTGAGTCCAGTTATGCAGAGTATGTAGAGAGGTTAAAGGTCAAGCCTGCTTGCATGTCTGATGAGAAGAGGTCTAGCAGAGAACCTTCATGCCCTCGAGTGAGACATTTGTTTGAGCCTCAGTCCAGAACCAGAGCCATTCAGATTATGAAAGGTGAACTGGTGGACACAGTGGTGCCTCAGGACTCCAGAAAACCAGAGGCTCAGCAGGACCAAACAATGGATGAACATCAGCTGGATGTTGGGTTTAAGCAAGGGGTTGGTGAACATCAGAAAATAGAGGCTGGAAGGACCGAGGCTGCACATACAGATGCCCTTTTTTCAGAAAGTAAGGACATCAGGATGTTTGGTAAGGATGGAACATCACTCCTTTATGAGGAGGTACCACCTCAAGCTTCAGGGACAGCTGGAGATGAGCCGTGTGAAGAAGAGGAGTCACTGAGGGCTCAGTACGAGAAGAGTCTGGAGGCTGAACGACAGGAGTGTGAAGATAAACTCCTCGCTTTGAGGATCAGGAAGTGGCAGCAAGGAAGTAAAATGTCAGAGGAGATGTTTCACACAGAATCAGCTGAGGAACAGTACGCGGAGCCCACGGGGAACATCTACACCCAGCAAAAAGTGGTGGAAACAAGATTAGCAGAGGAAAGTGAGACCACTTCTTTACAAAAACCATCCATCATAGGCATAAGGAAACTAAATCCTGAATATGAGACTCCAAGGTTATGTAATACCCAAGCTGGTGGGGAGGAGGTGGAGACGTCTGCCCTCATAAAACCAGCTGATGGAGCAAAGGGCTCTTTGAGGGCTCATTATGAGAAAAACCTGGAGGCTGAGAGACTGGAATGTGAGGAGAAACTTCTGGCTCTGCGGATCAGGAAATGGCAGCAAGGTGTACAAATGTCAGAGGAGGAGTCATTTCACCCTGAAACCGATCTGCCCTTTCCAGCAGATACTGGTCACATGGAGCCTGGGGAGCTCGTGAACCCCCAGCCGGAGGCAGTGGAGCGAGGACAACCTGTTCATCAAACAGTTCCACCAAAGTCACCAAATAGGAAAGGTAAAACAGAAACCAGGAAGATAGCTCAGATAGAAGAACAGGAAGCAATAGTTCCACGTGAGTTATCACAAAAATCACCCAGAATCCGCAGTAGAGCCAAGAGAGTGGAAACTCAATCACCTTCAACCAAAGTCAGAGCAGAGAGGAAGTCAAGAGAAGAACAAGAGCTTCAACTTTCAAGGGAAAACATCTCCGAGTTGAAGAGTGAGAGTGAAACGTTTGTGAGTGAAGAGGAGGCCCTAACCCACAGAATAATGAAATGGCAACAGGATGTTCTGATGGAGCAACAGCAAGCAGTAGAACAAGAACCTGGCTGGGTGGCGGGCTGCTCTCCATTCCGGGCTGAGACTGCCCCAGGGCTTGGAAGGACTGTTACAGAACCCCCATCTCTGGAAACATCTCAACAACCTGTTGAGGTGTGCTGCATGGGAACATCTGCTGGACAATCAGCTGATGAAAAATACCTGTTGAACAGCTCTGTTCCAGCTGGTTTCCAAGATCCTGAAGTTAACATCCTTCAGTGGCCTTCAACCGAGGAAGGCCGTGAGACGAGGCTGCAGACGCACAGCGAGTACTTTGTAAGTGAGGAAGAAGCGATGGCTCAACGAATTCTAAAATGGCAACAAGACATCACCGAGCCAGAGGAAGTGGCTGAGCTGGAGTCAGAGTGGGCTTTGGACACCCAGGCCAAACAAGCTAGCACTGGGTTCCAGTCCCACCTCTCTTTGCTAGAAGATCGAGTCCACACTGGTTCTTCACCTTCTGCTGGAGCTCTTCCAAAAGTCAAACCTTCACTTCTTCAGCAAGTCACAGAGTGTAAGCACTCTCCTACCATAGCATCCAGCCCTCCATCAGATGCTGCTTCACCACCCGCTGCACATGTCAAAGGAACTTCATCTCATCAGGCCTTCCAACCACTGGATGATTTGGGAGGAGAAGCTGAGAGGAGGTGGAGAAGGGAAGGATATGCACCACCTGTGGATAAATCAGGCTACCAGCACTTCCAAACCGATGTGAGTGCTAAGAGAGGAACAAAAGAAGAAGAAGGAGCTGCTGGAGAAATGAGATATCGAAACATTTTTTCTGGTAGGAAGGAAGATGAAAGAAATGAAGAGTCAATAAGGAAACAAAGAGGTGGTGCGATGGGTGCAGGAAGCTCTCAACAAAAAACTTCAAGGATGGAGGATAAGATAATCACATCTGTAGAGTCTCGGAGGGTAATGGGAGGAGATACCTGCTCTCCAGGTTCCCCTCCAAGATTTTTGAAGGAAATATCTTCACTGAAAAATAAAATAGGTGAAATGTCCGAGTTTACCTGCCAGTTCCACGGTGATCCTTTGCCCACTGTTACCTGGCTCAAAGATGGACAGTTGATAACCCACAACCCAGACTTGGACATCAAAAGCAAACCCAACATCTCCAGGCTCACCATCTTTTACCCAACGACGGACCATGAAGGAGTGTATGAGTGTGTCATTACCAACAAACACGGCACATCCATCTGCAGCGCCACTCTGGAGATTTCAGACAAAAAATTGTTGAGAGGTGCTGGTGTCACACAGGAAGTGTTTGTTACAGATGAGCCAGGCAGAAGTGAGGAGAGCCAGGACATCCTGGAAGAGGAGGAAATTCAGACCTACATGAGTACAGGAAAGACTATGCTACAAGTCCCACAGACCGTAATCCACAAACATCGGTTCTCCGATGAATCGTTCACCTCCTCACCAGTGCAGATCAGAGTCACAGCTGCAACTCCTCTCCCAGAAATGCCAGAGGAGAGCAGTG